CACACACACACACACAACCATTTATAAACCAGTTCTAACATAGTTTTCATACACAGGCTCACTATTTGGCAAGATGACTAAGCCTTATATTGGCCAAGTAAGTAGCCATAAGACTTAGCAGTACAGATAAATGTGGGCTCACTATTTGGCAAGCAACAGTTGCCCTGTTTATCCCATGTCTTATAAAAGCTTATTAAGGATTTATAAAGTGTTCACAACCTAATTAATAAATGAATTACAAACTATTCGTAAACCCTTTGTAAGGGTAGTCTTATTGTAAAGTGGTACCAAACAATTGTAAACATTTTTTTCCCAGATGTATTTTACTGTTGCATGTTCAGACCTGTTGAATTGACTCGTTTGGGTTTTGTTTTGTTCCAGGTTGGACATGTCGCGATGACTGTCGCTATCAGTGCATGTGGACCACGGTGGGTCTCTACCAGGCCGAGGGGTACAGTGTCCCTCAGTTTCATGGCAAGGTTTGTGTTCAATGCATCACACTGATCTGTAGTTAAAAAACACTCAAAGTGCTCCGGTGTTGGCTTAGTTTCACCTATTTGACTGATATGTGGAGATATAACTGATGTATTTTGTTCCTCATAGTGGCCGTTTGTGCGCTTCCTGTGTTTCGAGGACCCAGCCTCCGCTCTGGCCTCCCTGCTGAACGGCCTGGCCTGCCTCCTCATGCTGCTGCGCTATCGGAGCACGGTGCCACGCCAGAGCCCCATGTACCACACCATCAACGCCTTCTCTCTGGTGGGATGGACAAAATGAAAAAGACATTATCATAATAAATACACTGATATCTCTATGTTTTAACACTCATATGCATATTAACAAGAGCCTGTGTGTTTCTATAGGTTTCTCTTAATGCCTGGTTCTGGTCCACAGTTTTTCACACCCGGGACACCTATCTCACTGAGGTAATGATTATTAATAATAATTGGATCATCAGGTTTTTATGGCCAACCTCTTAGCAGAGAGTATGTGATTTGATGTTCTCTACCTGACTGATGTTGAATAAAGAGTCTCCCATTCCAGCCTTGCTAATGAGCTTAGCTTGTCAGTTACATCTTAATGCCGTTACTAAACAGCCCTCACAATGCGTGCCACATATTTTCAGTAACAAACAAGTCAAGATGTTGGTTTTTGTTGTCAGTAAACATGTTTTTTGTCTCTGTGATGATCTCTTCCAGAAAATGGACTACTTCTGTGCCACAGCGGTCATTCTTTACTCCATCTACCTATGCTGTGTCAGGTAAGCCATGCATTTATTCTTCTTTACTTGCTTGTAAAGTGCTTTGAGCACCAGGCAAAGCTCTATATAAATAACATGTATTATCATTATTATTATTATTAATCACTTTTTTTGTCCTGTAATGCAGATGGAAATATTGTGGCAGGAAAACTAGTCTTAGGCTTTTATATTTATAATAACGAGTGAATACTAATCTCCATTTTGTCACTGATGATATCAATAAGTTGCAAGACAAGGAAATATTTTGGTGAATGTATAATGTATCTATAACACATGATTTCTGTTTCCTCTGTCAGAACGTTGGGTCTGAAGCGACCGGGGGTTTCCAGCATGGTGGGGGTCCTGCTCATCTTGGCCTTTACCTCTCATGTGTCCTACTTGACCTTTGTTAGTTTCGACTACGGCTACAACATGGCGGCTAACACATCCATCGGTACAGTGAATGCAAAAAAAATCCTATTAAAGCTTGTATTTGGTTTGGTCATAATCAGTCTGAAGTTTGAGATACTTGCAGAATATTATTCCTTGGTCATGACATTTTTCTCCTTGTCTTTCTTATCTTTCTCTGTGCTTGTGTACTGTTGTTTGGTCTTAAAGGCATGGTGAACCTGCTGTGGTGGCTGTGTTGGTGCTGGCAGAACCGGCGGACCCTTCCCTACTGGTGGAAGTGCGGCCTGGTGGTGGTGCTGCTCCACGGCCTGGCTCTGCTGGAGCTGCTCGACTTCCCCCCGATGCTCTGGATCCTGGACGCTCACGCTGTGTGGCACCTCAGCACCGTACCAGTGCACTTCCTCTTCTACAGGTTTGTCCACTCACCTTTGTGTCACAGCTTTACAGAATATAAGAACTGTAGGAAGAGAGAAAAAGACTATATTGAAGTTTTGAAATTCAAATATATTGCTGCTTTTAGCTTAGAGTGTGGAAAGAGAGGATTAAATACCATATAAATAAAGATAATTATGGTGCACATTAATAGACATTTTATCGGAATCACAATATGAACTAGTTCAATATTCACATTTGGATTAGGTAAAATATTTGGTAATGGAAAAATAAGTGAAAGAATAATTTGATGCTTATTATTTCGGAGCTCCAGAGAAGTCCCAGCCAATAAACAGGATTGCACAGATTTTTCTAAAAATCCTTGTTTGGTACAGATTCTCCAAAAAAAAAAACATCATAATCGTTTTTATGTATTTTCCAACGATTATGTAAACAATTTAAAACAAAAGATAATTCCCTCTAATATCGTGAATCCCATCGCAACTTTAAAATCTTTCGAAAAATGGTTACACTTATAATTTTTTCTCCTAAATATAATAACCTGATACATTACCCTTACTTTATCTCCCTCCAGTTTCCTGATAGACGACAGCCTCTATCTACTGAACACGGAGAAGATGGGTGTCAAAGTGGAGTAGGAGGACCTCGTCACTTCTTCACCCCGGGAACACCCTCGCACCCCTCCAATCAGAGCAGTCGGACACTCGGACACGGAAGTGGCTCTGCCCCACGGACGACATGCATGACATCCATCAGAGTAGACTCTGTTTACATGTTTTTAATCTCTATTTTAAATAATTTATTTGGGCTTTACTTTCTCCATTGTTGATATGACGATTGCTCCACAACTTTTTTTCCTTTTTAACATCAATGCAAAACAGGATAAGGACAATAATGTCTCCCACCACAGCAGACCCAGTTTTTGACCTCGTAATGAAATATTTTTGATGCATATCCAGCTTTTCCGACTCTCGGGCATTTCTGAAATTGATCCCCTGAACCCTTGACTTTAATGTCCCTCTCGCTGAGCGTTGCACTGTTGGCAGTTTGCTGTGGCTGACAATAGATGGCACCAGATCCCCTGCCAGCCCATCTCTGTGTTTGGTTCAGCATGTGTCAGGGTCCATCTGAGCCAAAAGTGGACTGGCTGACACAGAGACGACGAGCCCCTTGTGAAGTGGGCAGGTGGGGTCTGCCAGCGGATTGTTCTAGAGAGAGAGAGGAGGGGGGGTTTATGTTTGAAGGCCATTCGAGCTGACTGTGTTTTTTTTCTTCTTTTATCACCATCACACCTTTTTATTTTTGTGCCTGCATTGTTTCCACTGCTGCTTTTGTTTCTCCTACTCTTCATTATCATTTATATTTCCAGTTCAGCCACCTTAGTCGTTTTAATTCTACGTTGTGACCAATTTGTTTGCTTTACCCTGTTTAATGACTTGATTTTGAATTTTGGGTTGGGATATGCCTGATGAACATCAAATGGAGATATTATTTGAATTCACCTGGATTGCCTTTTAGTGTGAGGAGAAGGAGAAAATGATAGAGGTAGGGGAAATAATCTGCGACAGGAAGCTGGGGCCTTTTTTATTTCCATCAAGAGTTTGAATACATTCTGGTGTGTGTGTGTGTGTGTGTGTGTGTGTGTGTGTGTGTGTGTGTGTGTGTGTGTGTGTTTAGATGTAGCCCATTATTTGGATTTGCAATTCTTGCTGTAATATCCCACAAAATGACACACACACACACTGCCAGCTGCTGTACAGATAACCGCCCCATAATTTCAAATACTCCCTCCATGCCTGCCTTACATACTGTATGATAACATTTGTCAATGAGCACGTTTCTTCTTTCTTATCAACTCTTTCATTTCCACTACACACCAACACTCTTGAATTCATACCCTGTATGTCTTCACCCCTCAGAGTCTCCCTTCCATATGGGCACTTTACGAGTGTGTGAACATTTACGTGCATTTTATTGTCCGAATTTCTGCCCATGCCTTTTGTATTTCTGCGCGAGAACAATGACTGCGTACACGTTGCCTTGACTCAACAGCATGTTGTTTTTGCCATTGTAAACTGAATCACTGTGTGTGTATGTGAGAGAGAGCTGGATTGTGCTCAATCCTTTTGTAAAACTACTGATGTAGGAGCATGTATGTGTGTGTGTGTGAATGTGTGTGAGACAACGGGTAAATGTAGCTTTGCTGACAGCCTGTGATATGGGTGGGGGGGAGAAAGAAAGAAGGACAGGGAGAGGTTGTCGTAGGTTTGGGTGGCATAAAGATTCCTGAAATGATGGCAGAGATGCTGGCCTTATGAGATAAGAAGCATTATATGGTACATATATTTTTTCAGACCAAACTGTTGATGATGATAAACCACTGACATTCATAGTATTGTGATTGGGGCCAAATGATGACATACTGTACATTGAAAAAGCTATAAGAACAAACATTACTAGTTTGAAATCTGTTATAAGTTGAACGTTTCCTGTGAATCATGTAATTGTTCTTTTCTTCACCAATCACCACAGCCCTCTTCTTCCCTCACTCATCTGCTGCCCTCTGCCTGCTGCCCTGCGCACATCACCTCCCGAGTGCACTTTCCTCCACCTCACATCTGATGTTTGACCAAAAAATCTAAAATAAATGGAACAAATAAAAGTGTTCGGGCTTGTTGTGTCTTTTTTCACCTGTTGAAATGAATCTGTTTCACAAATAAAAGATTTGTGGTTTGACACATTTCCGAATGTATATTAGAGTGGGGTATTACACTATATAAATACCTCTTTCTGTCTCAAAACACAATGGAATGATTTTAGAGGTTTAGGGCATGTGTCTTTTTAAAGAAAATGAATACAACTCAAAGACATCTGAAGTATAGCAAGGGGCTTTAACAGTTTTTTGTTAGGAGCCACAAGACAAAGGGGCACTTCAGGAATCCACCACTTCAACAGTGTCATTTTTGCACCCTGATATTAAGCAGCCCTGGTGATGTAATTCTCTGCGACCCACTTGTCTTTTGAGACTGCATCTGCCAATTTGCAGACTTCAACAAATTGCAGCATGCACTCATTGACCGGTATCCTTTTTGCAGCCAGTTTCTACGTTTTCTTTTTTTCTTTGACATAAAAGCCACATTTCAAGCATTACATTATTTTTCTAAACAAGAAATGAAGTTCAAACTGAGCTTCTCATACAGATTAAAGTTATGGTATTCTCAATACATACGTACTTCTCTGGTCACAGGCTGTTTCTTGATTCAGCTTACTCTGGACCAGTTTTGATGTATTGTTTTGTTTTTATTGTATTTAAAAAAGTAATCAAAGTTCGCCTGACTTGTATCTAAATCGTTTTTTTTGTCTGGTTGAATAAAAACCTATTCACGACACGAAAATGGCTGCAAATGAAGGGGCATGTAGTCTGTGATTCCCCCCTCCCCTCTTCAGTCTGAAGGTGCTGCTGACCTTGGACCATTTGTGCCAGTATCATATGCACACATTCTTTGTAGAGGTTAATATTGTATCTAAAAGCACCAAGACAGATTTGTCTAGGCATGTTACGTCTGCTGATTTCAGTACACTTTTGAGTAAAACTTTGTTATATTCATTGATATGCATTGTCCAAAACAAAGCGTTCTGACACTTGAATGAGCTACAGTATCTGCAGTCTGTGTTGTCCTCTCACTTGCACACAGTATCTCTCACCTACTTGTTGACCCCCAACAATTATTCATGTTTTTACGAGAGACAATTACAACCAAGTTCTTGCACCTTTTAGCTACAGGTTTTGTCATGTTACAAGGTTGTTTATTGTTATTTTTGAATAAATAAAACATTGGCCCACAGTTATATCTGCACAGCTGACTTCCTCATCTATTACTATACAGTAGATGAGGCTATACATGTTTCCACAGAGCCTGCTAACTTTTTCCAATACTTGAAAACTCCTCTTGACACTGCCTCAGTGACAGGCTATTCTATGGAAAAATCAAACATTTACGCAGGATAAGTAATTATTGTGAAAACTTGTGTTGTGCATGCCTAAGAGAGTAGCTTTTAGTTTTGTTTCCTGATAGCTCCGTGCAATATGTCGGACTCTGACCCTGGCTGCTGTGGGTGGAGAGAGTGGATAGATTTGGATGAATAGAGTTTATTCTTCCTCCCTCAACTCCTGATTTGTGACCGTGAAATGAAGGGCATGAGAACTATGAAGATGCTCCAAGTCAGTATGATGCATCTCCCTTTTTAAAAAGTCAGCTGTGCACACACATACATAGAGGAAGAACATTAAATATAAAAGTATACTAAGAGCACAACCTTTCATTGCAATGCAGCTAGGGGGCCTCATATGTGAGGGGGGGTTCGAGGGATGTGTTTGAATACAGTTGTGATGGATTATTGTAAAACCTGTTTGCCTATGGATGCTTTGAAGCATTGTTCCTTAAATGAATGATTAATACAGTCATATATAATAGCTTAATAGATAAGCCATACTTTTTTTATGGTTCATTGAATGACACAAGTTTACTGTGGAGCAGTGATGCCATGTTAATAAGTATATTTATTCAAGAACGTTACTTAAGTAAGTACAGTATTTGATGTATTTGTACTATAACTGAATACTACTTTGATTTGAAAGACATAGGTGGGCCTACTACTTCTGCAAGATATAGGATTAGCTGATTATTGTGGTTTATTTTGCAGACAAATCTCTAAGTTTGCTATTAAAGAAACGTAATAAAAAAGCGTAAAACCTTTACTGGCTGCAACATTAAAGTGTTGTATAACGCAATACGGCAACGTAACTCATACATCATAATTAAGAATATGATATGAATCTGAAATATGCATAATAAGTAACTTTACTTTTGTTACTTCAGGATTCTTCCCATTCTTATTGTCTCTCATTCTCTCTAGGCCTACTGTTACCTGTAACAGAGTGGGCTATTTTACGCAGAAGTATGAAGTAAAAATATTCTTCCAACACTAAATGTACAAAGTGTTTTGCATGAAGTTGGAGCAGCAGTGCCCTGCAGATAAGTGAGTTTGGATCCCTGACTGTATATTTGAAGTGAGGGCGGGCTGAGTCAACCTGCCACTCCCAGCTCAGGCCTTCACGGGCGCGCGCCTCTGCTCCTGCGCGCGGCTGTCACGCTTTACTACCAACAGGCACGGAATTCCAGGGAGGAAGTCACTGAGATTGGAAAACGAACAACAACTGTAAAAGGTGCCAAGAAAAGGAAAAACAAACCCTGGTTACGTGAAGAAGTCGGAATACGGCCTTTCCTCGCTGGGAACAGTAGAACCATCTGAAGTTTGGAGTATGGACTAGAGGCACCGCCGCGCCGGGTCGCAGCAGATGGAGGCGGCGAGAAGTTTGCTGTTCGTCGGGGCCGTGCTGCTCGCAGCGACGGGAGCTATGGGTAGAGAAGGTGGGTGACTTCCAGAGCTTTTCTGGCCTTAAATAGCTCCACTGTAAGCATTAAAGACACTCTTTCTAAAGGGAGTATAACAGTGGAGCATGTTGGTTATACTCATTGGTGTGAATTAACTGTATAGTCCAATTTTGAGATACTAACTTTACTTGAGTCATTTTTTGCTGCTATGTACTCCACTACAATTCAGAGGTAAATCATGTACTTTTACTCCAGCACTACATTTATTCAATACCTTTAGTAACTATGTGAAATATAATCAACACTTAAATAAGACTTTATTTACACCTGGAAAACCCAAGCGACCCTAGACCCTAAAGTCCTGCACCTTTACCAGCTTTGATAACACTTGAATCAATATCTATAATCAAAACATTTACTATATTACTCTGAAATTGGCCAATTTGAATAATGAGTACTTTTACTTTAGGTACTTTTAAGTTTATCTTGATGCTAATACTGTTGTACTTTCACTTGAGTAACATTTTGAATGCAGGACTTTTACTTGTAAGTTGTAACAGAGTATTCATACACTGGTACTTCTACTGTTACTTAAATATATGAGTACTTCTCCCACCTCTGCTCCACTGTAAGCAACATAGACACTCTTTATAAATGTAATATACAAAGTGGAGTATGTTGGTTGTACTTGAGTAAATGTTGGAGGTTCAGCTCGATCCACACAGGGTGATATTTCTGGCTGGGACGACATTCCTGCGCGAGCCCTCGTCCTCGAGGCTCATGGGACTTCTGTAGCGCTGATTAGGAGAAAAACCCACCTGTCACAAAGCAGCCAGACTCACTGTTTGGACTTCAACTCCCATATTGCGAATAGCAGTAGCAGAGGTGGGAGAAGTACTCAGATATTGTACTTAAGTAACAGTATAACTACCAGAGTATAGGAATACTCTGTTACAAGTAAAAGTTCAAAAATTAAGTTACTCCAAAAGAAAGTCCTCATTTTGCAAATTGGCCAATTTCAGAAATATATATTACATGTTTAGATTATAAATATTGATGCATTAAAGTGTTATCAAAAGGTGCAGCTAATTTAAATGACATTGTGTACAGCAGGGTAGCTTGTGAATTTACTCCTGGTGTAACTACAGTCTTATTAACGTGATGATTATGAAATCATTACTTTGAAGTACAAAGCAGTAACAAATTGAAATACTCAGATAAAGTACAAGCACCTAAAAATGGTACTGAAGTACAGTACTGGAGTAAATCTACTTAGTTACTTTACACCACTGCAGCTGTCACAAAGTAGCCCTGCAGCCAGATGCACTGTTTGAACTCAAACCTCCATGTTGCAAAGTTTGTTGCACAAATAAATAGTGTAGTAGTAAAAGCAGTAAAACAGAAATATGAGAACCTGCTCTGCAGCTGGGGGCTGTGCGTGCAGGCGAACGTTATGCTGTTTTGCTCAGCGCGTAAACAAAAACAAACCAACAACAATAACAGACAGGGCATTGTTTGCCAAGGATCATGACGATGTCAATTATTCACTTCTGGCTCTAAAGAGGACATTGTCTGATAGAGCGCCACTTGTCACACTCTGAGCCTGAGTGCATGCCAGTAAAACAAGAGCTAACTGAAAGTGCAAGTGCATATACAAGATGTTCGTACATTTATTTACAGATTTTATTGGATGTATAAATGTTACAATGGTTAACAAAAGAGCTTTTATGAAAGTATTTGCATTAAGGGTTTTGTCTGGTTTACAATATCTTTGCAGTTAGTAATTTTAACATCAGATCATCATTGAGAGCTTCAAACCAGGGTCCAGTAAGTGAGTAGTCCATGTACAGAAACATTTTTGGTAATGGTTTGAGCGTTACAACTAATTTTTAAGCCAAAATGCCAAACATTTCATGATTTCAGCCTCAGGAATGTAATGCTTTGCTGCGTTTCCTTCTCTTGCAATGCAGCAAGCTTTATATGTTAAGTTTTATAGACAAAACCGTTAACTCAACCATTCAAATAATGTTTATTTACAGCACTAGTGGTTGCACAGTCCTCCATATTGATAGGCATTTATTTTAAGTGGAGACACACATCAATACGCCGGCTCAGATGATTTTAAAAGCATTTAATACATCACAAGCTATTGGCAAACATATTGACATCAATAACGCTGAAAATCCTTTCTGTGGTCTTTATTGACATACTGGTCAGCTTTTATCAACATGCCCCGTGAGGAAATAGGCCAGTGCATGATAAAAGAAAAACGCACCAGGTTTTAGTTTTGGTCCTCTTTCTGAGTACAAATAATATTGTAGTGGCGCTTCATTGTCTTTCATTTGCTGCTACCCCCACCACAACTTAACACTCAAACAAAGCCAATAGTCTCATCTGAAGTGATTTCCAAATACAACTGCATTGTTTGTGCGAACAGGTTGGTGCACTCTGCTGCACCGTGTCGATTTCTGAAGCATCAGTTCAGCTGTGATCGCTCTGTAACGGCCACAACGCCTCACGCACTAGTCTTACTTTCAGTCATCAAGTATTGTTTTTACACAAACACACACACACACACACACACACACACACACACACACACACACACACACACACACACACACACACACACACACACACACACACACACACACACACACACCGAGCACACACACACCCCGTGTCCAACTAGTATACCATTTCAAAGGTCAGGACTCTTGTTTGGTGTTTTGTCTTCCAGTCGTTTTAATTAATTATTTTATTGCCACCGCCTGTTCCTGAGGGAGAACAATATGTTTGTGTCTGCGTGTTTTGTGTGTGTTCGCTGGCCCCAGTATCCATCCACAGAGTTCATGTCCTCGTCACACTCCAGTGCTCCAACAGAGTGAAACTCAGTGAAGTGATTAAGTCCTTCTGGCCCTCAGTAGCAGGTCAGACCAGCCGGCCGTGACCCTCAGTCTCTGTGTCAGTGATCTAACTCACTCCGCTGGGCAGTGGACCAGAGCAGAGACTTTCAACTCCTTTTTCTATGTTTCTCAAGGGTTTTTGAGTTATAAACAGGGCTATTTTCTCAATCTGTATCATATGGTCGATATAAAGTCAAAATAATTGTTAAAAATATCCATTCAAGTTTCTTAAAATCCATAGGGTTGTCTTTAAATCTCTTCCGTTTTCAGTCTAAATCCATAAAGATAATACATAATATAAAAGCAGGAAATGTCCATGTTTAAGAGGCTGAAAGCATTTTCTGATAATAATGATGATTCATATATATTATTTATAATAATAATCCAATACTTAATACAACTAATCTTGTGTTCAAATGGTCCATTGAAGGGGTCTTTTGGTACAAAGCCAATACAAATAGGGCCTTGTTTTTGGTGTCTAAAAAACTAAACATTTCTCATGAAATAAAATATGGTTTACTGAAATTACCCTCCAAAAAAATCATACAGTCAAATCTTTGAATAGAAAATGTTTAAGACTGCAATTTGAAAAGGACAGAATAAAGTTTTACTTGCCAATGTGGTGCATAGATATACATCTGATTATTCAGGCATAACGGTGTTATGCCCACCGAGATATGCATGCACCTCAAGACATTTCAATGATCTGTACGTCAAAGTACGGTTTGGAAACTATATAATTTCCTTTTGGAGGGCATGCATAACACGGCAAAAACCAGAGCCTCGCTGCGGGGAAACATTGGCGCTATTCCGAATTTGTTCTAATCTGTCAAAATGACAGACTGCTTTCAGTTTTTCCGTCATTGTTAAAAAAGATATTCGGTTAACGCGACCACTGCTGTCCCAGCAACATCAGTACCAAGCGAGAGAGTCTTTTCCACAGCAGGGGTATTGTAAACGCTCAAACATCCCAGCGTCTACCTGGAAATGTGGACATGCTCATATTCCTAAAAAAAAACCTGTCTGATGAAGCTGAATGAGTGAGTTAGTGAGTTTTAGTTGAGTTACTTGAAAAACTAAAGTGAAACTTGATTTATTTTATTGCAGGGTCTGATTATTAAATGTCCTTGTTTATTTGTGAGATGCAGTGGCACAAAGAAAATGCCTACTTTGTTTGGTAGTACTAGTAGGTAAAGAAACACTGGTTGTTCTTGTTCCAGTCTGTTACTGTCACTTTGTTTTTGACACTTTAAAATACTACTATCCTACAAAAATGCTGAAGAAATCAGATTTATTATTTAATAAAGATTTTTTTTTCAAGTAAAACCATTTTTTTCCCTCGTAAATACCGTACCGTGGACTTGTTATCGCGATATTATCGTAGGCTACCGTGAGTTTTTGGTATCGTTACATCCCGAGTGATTAGCATCAGAAGATGTTTTCTTCTCTTTGAAATGCACTGAATTTAAATGCAGATGCTTTAAAGCTGTAGTAAAGGTGTAAAACAGTGCGGGACACATTGTGATTTAATAGTGTTTGTGGTGTTTGAGTCTACGCGTGACAGGCTGATTGAGAGAGCAGTTCAATGGGGCTCCGATACAGTGCGGATCCTGTTCTGCTTGTCTGTTGAGCAATACCTGTTTTCTCTTCCTCGGCTGTAGAGTGAAGAAAAGAATGTGTTCAGGGCTTTGGCTCAGGGAGAAGAAATGTGAAGTTTATGCAAGAAGCGCTAGGAATAGCATTGTGCTAGAACCAGGACGGACATGTTAAATCTGCAGGATCATAACAAAGTGACGGAGAAAGTCCTGGTGGATCAGCCTGTTCTGTTTGTGTTGAGATTTGGAGGAATCTGATCCATCAGAGAGCTTGATTCTTCTGTTGTGTCACACTGCTGCTCCTCCATGGTGCAGTCTCACTCCTGCAGGAGCATCGCTGCTACCGTGTTTCTGTTACCAGCGTACACATACTGGTAAACACACACACGCACGCACACTCCCTGTGCTAACTGGCACTACGCCACTAACAGGTGTGGCTTCAAGCTGGCTTTCAGTCTGCAGACAGTCCCCTCAGCACAGTGTTGCAGGACACAGATTAAAGTCGCTGTCTCATCTCTTGAAGAAAGCTAGGTCAAGTCACAGTTACTTCTTAGAAGACACCAAAATAAGCAATTTCTCCAATAATGTAGAAAAAAAACATTTAAACAGTGAACCTCTCCTTGAAGGTATTGCACTCTGTTTATGCACCAAAATAACCACAATATTAGTTACCCCAATATATATGAACATAAAGCGTCTCCCGAGCTCTTTATGACGACAAACCTCTGTGTCGTCCCGTCCTCAAGTGTAGTTTGGAAAAACAAAAAAACACATTTTCTGCTGGACAGCATATAATACAAATAATTGTCTTTGTTTGAAGTTCTTGTAATGCATAAAACCTGCTTCTGCATGAATGCTGTATTGTTGTAATTGAAGACAAATCAGAAATAATTGAAAAAAATGTAAATTGTTAGAAGCTTGATAATCAGAAGCTTTACTGAAGACAGACAGTCACAACTGTAATCAATTAAAGGATTAAAATGTAAAAGAAGAAAGGCATCAAAGTAGAAATTCTCTCTCGTTCTTTGTCTTGTTAACCACAGAAACACCTGACCAGAGGACGTTTCCAGAGCCAGGTGTCCGCGGTACGCTGAGCAGAAGCCAGCTCTAACTCATTTAACTTTGAATGTCAGTGGCAGTCACTAGTTGTGTGTGTGTGTGTGTGTGTGTGTGTGTGTGTGTGTGTGTGAGCCGGACACAGAGATCTGAACTGAACTACAACGTGCTCCCCCCAACTCACTGGGGGAATACAACTATGTGTGTCATCTTTTAGATATGCTAAGACACATTCCTGTGAAATGACACTTTCCAGAGTCCAAAGAGAGTTGGGCAACGACACGTACACTCTGTGAAACTGAGAGAAAGAAATGAATGGGGGAAGAGAGGGGGGAAGTTTTAAGATGAATGGCTTTTAAAGAAGGTAATGCAAATAAGTTGCGAGTGATTTTGAAAGAGTAAGGCATTGATAGTGTCATGACAGTGAGCAGCACAGTTAGTGATAAAAGAGGGATAATTTTAGGCCACAGGGATGAAGGGGTGGGCAGCTCCTCACAAGGCCACTAATACACACACACACACACACACACACACACACACACACACACACACACACACACACAGCCGTTGCTGAGAGACTTTTGGAGAGCAAACAACGAGGAGAATAAACGGAGAGGAAGCTGAGAGCTGGCTTTACACACATTTTAGAAATGGAAAATCTGCCCCGTTGTACTTTCTGTTACGGTACATTTACCTAATCCCCAGTGCTGACTGTGTGTGCGTGTGTGTGTGTGTGTGTGTGTGTGTGTGTGTGTGTGTGTGTGTGTGTGTGTGTGTGTGTGTGTGTGTGTGTGTGTGTGTGTGTGTGTGTGGAGTCAGATTTGGTTTCTGTTTGGATATTCTGTCTTGTTAACAATGATTTAAACGCTGGAGCATTAAAGCTAGTCTCCCCTCTTGGCGAAAAACTATTTTCCATGATGACACCACTGAAGGAGACAGTGATTAGTCATTTGATTTGATATTTGACCCAAGCTGCAACCGCTGGGTATGTATTTTAGGCCGCCGGTTGCTCAATTAATCTTAGACCCTTTTGCCGCAGTAGTTATCAGATTTTAATGTGGACCCTATTGACACTTTGTCACCTTTTACTTCTTAAATAAGTGGCAGACGTGATACCAGCATGTCTTGAACACATATCTTCTGAACTCTGTTGAACCCCAGTGTATCATTAAAATCAAACTCCTCACACGTGCCTGAACTTCCCGCTCCTCCGGTGATGTCCATCCATCCAGGGGGGACGGAGATAGCACAGGGGGGGAGGGGGCTTGAATTGGGAAAGTCGGTTGACTATTGAAAGACTGTTGGAGGGGAACCAGAGGAAGTAATTTATAACCTCAGCAGAGGAGGGTCTGTCCACTGTGTGAATGCCTGCTAAAAGCATGGCAGCTATGTGTGTGTGTGTGTGTGTGTGTGTGTGTGTGTGTGTGTGTGTGTGTGTGTGTGTGTGTGTGTGTGTGTGTGTGTGTGTGAGGGCGGGCCCCTGTGAATTGTATGACCCTGAATTATACAGTCTATCTGTGTGACCCACTGCGGGGAATCTGTGCTCTGTGCTGAAAGTGGAAACTATATCACACACACTAAGAGACAGGACTGAGGCGTGCATGTGGTTTGTGTTTCAGAGAACCCATTCAAGGCCACGTATAGATACATAGTCAACATATGTGGAATTCTAACAGTCATTATTCAGAGATTCAACATGGTCCTCTGGCTGTTATTATGAATGTGCATTTAAAGATTTTGTTTATAAATTGCTACTTTCCAAGGTTACACTTGAAGTTTAGAGTCAGCAGGGTCACTTTCTATTCTTATGTATCACAGCGAAGTGAGAGCTGCCAAAATCTATTTTATAGCTGCAAAAAAAACTATTTGTTTTATTCTGATTTGAATTAATGAATATTTTAGTCTAAAATATATTAAACAAAAACTTTCACTTTTGAGTTACTGAGATTTTTAGTCTTTTTCCATTGACAGTGGGATCTCTGTCAAAATTAAAACATATTGAAAGACAACCAATCAGTATTTTGAGATGAACCTTTTTATTTTTACGAAAAATAAAATGACAGAAACCTCCCCTAAGAAAAACAAACATCTACGTACCCAGCAAATTGACTTAAGCTGATATAGTCCTTTAATCACCCAACCCCAGTGTATAGAAACATTTACAGTTGATTAGAGTTAGACGTTTGTTCCTTTGGTGTGTTTAAACATTAATTCATATTGAATATGCTGTCCAAATCATTTTTAATAACAACAGCATGAATATAGGTTTTCACAGTGTTTTAGGTGCAGGATGTTTATTTTATTCATTATTTTGTGTTAAATGTGTTGTCTATGTTGCAGTATGCCTGGGTACAGACATGAAGCTGGACCTGCCCTCCAGCCTGGAAAATCACTACGAGACCCTGAAGCTGCTCTACACCGACTGCAAGGTCGTCCACGGCAACCTGGAGATCACTCACCTTCATGGAAACCCGGACCTCTCCTTCCTCGAGGTAAATACGGAGAGTGGGTTTTTGGCTGTATTTGAGTCCATAATAGGCATATTCAAATCTAGACCTCTCCTTAAGAGTGTGGGGGTTTCTGTCTGTAATAATGACGGCATTAAATGACACAAATAGACCCATTAGTTATACAAAAATAAGACATAGTTTGTTGATTATTATGTCTTGATCCAATAGTTTGTAATTTGTTCGTCAAATTATTTTCTGTATAGTCTGTTATCTATCATATTGTGAATGGTTTACAATATTTATGTTGGGCTGAAATAAGCCCAATGGGTTTTTTCTGCATCTTCTTGCACGTTATATATTATTTTTGTTTATTTTTAATTGTGCAAGTAGACTTAAGGAAAGTATTAAACTGCATTGCTGAGTTAGCTATGATTTTTCCACATTTTTTGTTGCCACATGACACTCATCCTTGTGTTTCTTCTTCTGTCTGCAGGGGATCGTGGAGGTTCAGGGTTATGTACTTGTAGCCCATTTGTCAGTGAGTGTGTTGCCTTTGGACAACCTTCGCATCATCCGAGGCAGCCAGCTGTACAACTCCAACTACACTCTGGCTGTGCTCGATAACACTGTGGGCGGATTGGGGCTCAGGACGCTGCGGCTACGTAGCCTCACAGGTCAGATCATAAGAAAGTAGAGATCAGAGTGTGTATTCAAGTTTCCTGGACTTGTTTATTTGATCAATATCTTCAGCTTGAATGGGATAAGACATGTTTTGGGCTCCTGTTCATTGTTTGATTTGTAGCGCAGAGGAGTTGTGTGCCTTGTTTTCATGAAGCATCTGTCTTCTACTCTAACAGTGTGTTAATGAGTGTATTGTCTGTCCTGCAGAGATCCTGTTGGGAGCTGTGTATATTTGGGGGAACCCCCAGCTGTGCTACCCTGACCCCGAAAACATTGTTTGGAGGGACATGTTGGATAAGCCAAACACATACGCCGATCGGCACCGACTGCAGGGACGGGCCCCCAATTGTGAGCAGCTGACCGACTGATTGAAATATGTTAAACATCAGTGTTAGTGTTGTCATTGTCTGTATGAAGTATGCACAAACCAGTCTCTCTGTTAATCACACACACACACACACACACACACACACACACACACACACACACACACACACACACACACACACACACACACACACACACAAAACACACCCAGGCAAACAACAGTATGTGAATTACTGCAGTGCATACACAAAACGCCTTACTTATTTATTTGTATGCACTATATGCAGCTTATTTATATTAATATTGTATTGTTGATTGTATTTTTTTGCATTTCTTTAGTTTTTATTGTTAGTTGTATTGCTTTTATTGCTACAACGTTGATGAGCCAAAACCACACAGCTTTACCCCCTTATACGTGTTTTGATTCTTTAAAAATAAAATAAAATGTTAGCTATTCTATTTGACTCTTTTCTATTTGAACATCCGCGTAGCAGTTCTGATTCAGTATACTGACGGCTAGATGCAGGCCGAGCCGTAGACACGTTTTTCCTGTTTTTATTTTGTTAAATTGTTAAATTGTGCTCGCTCTGATTTGTTGTTGTTGTTGTTGTGCTCCTTATGGCTCAGGTCCCAGTTGTGCCTCTGTTTGTGGGAAAAGCTGCTGGGGAGAAACGGCACAGGACTGCCAGACCTGTGAGTAATAAAATAATGTGCAGAGCATGGCAGTGACATTAAATAATTGTTGCTGGAAAAAGTCCTGAGCAGGTGCAGAAAATTGATTTTGTCGTCTCCGTTTAAAGTGACACAGATAAACTGTGCGTTTGGCTGTCAGCGCTGTAAAGGTCCCAATCCCCATGACTGCTGTCACACACAGTGTGCGGCCGGGTGCACAGGGCCCAAAGACTCAGACTGTCTGGTGAGTAAACACACACTCTCCGTCACAACACATGTATTTATCAGATCATTGTTGTGGTTACTGCAATTTCTGTCATCATCATTTCCTCGTTCCTCTTCGCTCCAGGCTTGCCGTCACTTCAACGACAGCGGTGTGTGTAAGGAGAACTGTCCTCCGCCCACCATCTACGACCCTGTCACCTTCCAGACCAAACCCAACCCAAACAAGAAGTTTAACTTTGGAGCAACATGTGTGAAGACGTGCCCCTGTGAGAAACGATTTTAAATGAACTGTATTTATCCAGAGAAGCTTCCGCTCAGCTTTAGCCACTGTGCAGTTTGACTTGTTTACCTGGTGATCCATTTTTGAGGAGAAAATAGAATTTATTCAGGTTCCTTCACAAGATTTTCACAAATACAGAAATACAAACCTAGCATTCTAACAATTCTATTCTTAATACTTTGACGCTAAAGGTTACAATTTTCTCACTTCATAATCATTTTCTTTTTGCTACAAAGACGCCCCTTTGATCACTTTGTCTTATTGTCTGCAGATAACTACCTGGCTATGGAAGTAGCTTGCACTTTGGTTTGTCCCAAAACCAACCAGGAAGTTATCGTCGCCAACCCTGAGGGAAACGAGCTGCAGAAATGTGAAAAGTGTGAAGGAGACTGTCCCAAAGGTGAGAGTCATTTAGTGCTTGTAGGTAGATTTGCACATGAGTAAATCTGAATCCTTTAACACCTCCATTGATTTGGTAAAGCACGAGATTTGCAGCATTAATGTGCTGTGCAAAAATCTGCAGAAACTGTGATGCTAAAGGTTTACCTGATAAAGCGACGACTGTGTGTAAAAAGTAGCTTTCCATGTTTCCAACACAGGAAAAAATTACTTCTCACTTTGTGGCTCACATGTTACATAACGTTCATGTGTAATGTTGTTGAGTAACTTGCATTCTCCTTGTGCATGTCATGGTGCTTCAGTGCAGGTTATTGTGATTTGCAGGGATGCTCTTCTGCATCACATGCAGACTGTAGTTGAAAGTGAACCAACCTGTTTCTGCAGCAACTTGTTGTTGTTACCGCGATTTGTCTCGTGGTTCAGAACATTTAGAACTTTATTATCAAGCTCTGTTGTGATTGTGTCGCGCCCAAAGAAAAATGTTTTTTTTGTTAAGTGATACAAGACAGAATAATATGATAATCTCCGCGCTACGGGTGCTCCGTGCATGCAGGCAGTGACATGTAATATCCAAGGATTAGAGACTGTTGGATGCTGCTGTTTTGAGCATTGCAATATATTTATTTTCATTATGTTATTTATTTATTATTATTTTTAGGCTCAGCAACATTTGTTGTCAGTTTGTATAGGTGTTGCTATCTGCTTTTTTTAGCGTGCTTCTACAATCAGAGAGTTACAAGGGTCTGTAAATGCAATGAAAACATTTGGCCACAGCAAATCATTTATATTAAAAGTGTAATTTTTACTTTTGAATACTTCAGTACAAAGCATGTATTGAATAATTTAAGTGATATATGTGTACACATATACATCATTAGTCAAAAAAGGGCTACATTTGATTGAATTATAAAAGGTATATTTCGCAGATAAACCTATTAACCCCTTGAAAAAAAAACCCGGCTCTTTTGAACGGCTCTCGCAAAGGAACGGAGCCTTAAAATCCGGCTCCCTTCAGAGAGCCATAATTCCCATCACTAATAGCCAATAAAACGCGAGTGTTACGAAGTGATGTCACTATGTTATGGAAGTGAACAAAGGAGTCTAATTCAAGGTGTTTTAGGCAGGCGAGAGGGGGG